GGACTGATGCCTGGAGGTTACCATTTGCCCTTGTTCCTGCCAGCTGCTGCCATTGACTACTGCCAGAGGGAGAAATGAAAGTGGTCATAGACCAACTCCTTTTCCTTGATTCTGTCTGAGCAGAGCTGAGATGATCCCTGCCAGCTGATTGGTTAGAGCTCCACCAGGACCTTTCTCTAAGACATTTCTCATTGTTTTTAGTATGATAAGAATCCTTGTTTCTAAATGTGTGGCACGCACAGAGCTGCAAAGAAAACAAACAATAAAGAATTGAATGCAAGGAAAGCATTGAACTTAAGTGATGGATATAAAAAAGCAATGCTTCAAAAAAAAAGTAGACATATTCATCAGGCACAGAATAACAAAATTTAATGGTGAATCTAAGAGCATTTTGAGTAGTGATGAAGATATGAAGACTTTTACCATGTCTGTAACAAATGTAATTATGACATAGTATTTATGAATTTATTATCTAGAATGCCATAAGTCCTTATGCCTCCCATTATGACAAAAGGAAATGCTTAATTTTAGTTAGTAACTGGTTACAATAAGACAAATGTTTTACCCGTCCATCTTACTGGCCCTTTGATTACCATAAATACTCCTTTGGGCTGTGTCCTGGGGGGAAACCACTGCTCAAGAGTTCTTACCCAGGAGTGGAATTGTGGGTTTGTAAGTCATATGCATATTCATCTTTACTAAATTGTACAAAAATCCTTTATAAATTTATACTCTTCATAGTAGCATATGAGGGGTTTTCTTACTTTTTTTTTTGTGGTCTGATGTAAATACTTCATATAACAAATAGGCACCAGTTACAGGGTGTTAGAGATTGAGACAAGCTAAAAATCAATTTAATGTTATTCTTGCTTGATTTTGTCAAACTCATGAAATCGTGCAGATGGAAGCAGTGTGAGGTTGATCTGATGCTACCTTAGCTGGGTAGGAGGACAGTTAGATGTTAGATGCTTGTCTTCTGGATCTATACCTCTGGGCAAATGTATTCTGCAGTTACTTCCCTAGGTGAGCACTTTTGTGTATCAGTGTGCTATTTCCTGTAGCCACTAGATGGTGACATAAACAAATTTTTGTGAGGTGTGTGTGTGTGTGTGTGTGTGTGTGAGAGAGAGAGAGAGAGAGAGAGAGAGAGAGAGAGAGAGAGAGAGA